AATGACATTGGAGATGGAGTCTCTTTAATTCTGTAATGCTTTGTCCATTTGAGAAAGCTATTTACAAAGGGGAAAGGTTTGATCTTGAAAACTCTTGGCTCATGACAAAATTATAATAATTTAAAGAGGATAGAACAAAATGAGGAATTTTGACTTTCTGTTTGAGAGAGCATAAGAATGCATCACCCCACCAGTAAATGATGCCGGAACAAACCCAAGGTTATAGATTTCAGTGAAAAGCAATTTTTAAAGGTCTATTTTACAACAATATATTATTCCTCTGAACATACACATTTACTCTTGGGAGTTAAATTGCATTGGAAAGACAAAATATGACTCTACCACCTAAGTGTTAAAGTAATTGATATCTGATCCAGAGAACTTTTCTATTAAACATTACTAAGCACAGATCCATTACTGAATATTTATTTATTTAGCACATAAATCTTGATATTCTCATCAAGAGGAGATGGGTTATGCTTATTGTATTACTTTATTATTATTAAAATACAACCATGCAAGAATATAGACTGTGCAGATTGCATTATTTCATTGGAATATATGAATAAAAATCACAAGCAAAATCTTTATAAATGAAAATGTAATAATTCTGCAGCTGGTGAGTTATTGTTTGTTTTATACACCCTGACTACTCTGCATGAATCAAACTGGATTTTTCCTTAAATAAGAAAAATGGAGAGCTACACTATAAAAAATCAGTATTTTTTTCTTCTGTATGAAACATAATACAATAGAGCTCTATTATAATATGACTGTAAGGTTTTGGTGGGGTTTTCAACATCACTGAAGCAGAAAAAACTGCACAGTAAGTGCTTGAGCCTGTGAGCGCCTAGGTGCCCACAGGGCAGATTTGAATTTTCACCCTCCTTCATTCATCTTACAAAACTTCTCAGGGTAGCACTGATGGCTCCTGTCTGTAATCCTAGCTACCCAGAAGGCTGAGATCCAGAGGATCAAAGTTTGGGGCCAATAAGAGCAGAAAAATTATAGAGACTCCACCTTCAAAATAACCAGCAAAATGCAGTACTAGAAGCGTGGCTTAAGTGGTAGAGCAACAATCTTGCAAGGCTGAGGCCTTGAGTTCAAACCCTAGTATTGCCCCCTTCTCTTCAAAAAGAAAACTATAAAAAGAACTTGGAAGTTTCCCTGTTAGGAAGTTTAAGAGCGTTTTCTAATTTCTAATTTGGTTGACTCGTTTAATTTTAAAAAATTGGACTTACATGTCAGTATTATTTCAAAATGAATTAATTTTGTGATTCCTTCCCCCCCGCCCCCCCCAGCATCATCTTTTTTTTTCTTTTTCTTTTTTTCATGTGGCAGACCCATGCAGGGCTGGCTGTGGACTGGGCTGGCTAGAGAGAAAGCAAAGCCAGAGTACGGCCCTTCCCTCCTCAATCCCACCTCTGTTGAGCTCGGAGTCCCTGCGGCTCCCAGAGGCTTGGTGAAGGTGATACGGAGATGGGAAGCGTTTCTAAGGCAGAGGTTTTCCTGCCAGTCTCCTCTGGCAGAACGGAATGTACTAGGCTCCAAGATTTAACGATAGTAACTCGTTCTCCCGCAAAACTTGGATCAGTAGACTCCTGGCCTAAGGTTTTGGAGATATGGATGACAGGGCCTGTGCTTGTTGTTTATTTAGATGACGTCGATGCCAGGGACATTTTAACCTTTATTGTGGCCTTTCCTTCTCTGATTGCTACGGAAGCTTTAATTTTGCTTCCATGAGTATCAGTGCATCTTTCAGGCCAGATCATGTTTTGGGGGTATCAGTGTGTTTCTGAGGGTCTCTGTCTGCAACTGGGTGTGGACGAGTGTAAGGTGGGAAAGAACACACTCTTGGTTTTGAGGGTGTTGTTGAGTGTGCACGGAGGAGTGTTCCTAAACGTGACTGGAGAGATAGAGACTGACGTTAACGTGGCTTTGGGTTGACACACATCTGTTGTGGGAGCAGGAAGTTATCCCTGCTGCACAAATGGAAATTCTTACACTGGAATACTGGCTTACACTCAGGAGATGGAGTTTAGGGCTAGCCATGTTAGAGTCCAGCTTGGGCCCCAAACCATCGCAACAAATAATCTGGGTGTAGTGGCTCATGTTTGCAATCTCGCTATGTAGGCGCCATAGGTAAGTGGAGAACAGGTGAAGCAGTTTTTGCCCTGGTTAAACACATAAGACTACCTGAAAAAGAAATCATGCAAGGACTGCAGGCGTGGCTCAAGTGGTACAGCACAAGCTCTAGTGCCACCAATAAAAGAGTAAATTAGCAAAATCAAATGAAGTAAAATAAAATAAAAGAGCGTCCTGCTTTTGGGGAGGAAGTGTCACAAGAATAATGTAACTACTGTCTAGACCTGTTGCTGGTGTGTCCTACTCCCCAGGCTACCGATGCCTGCTTTAACCTCTCTGTACCTCCCGGGAGAGATGTCCAGATACTGAAGAACACATGGACCTTCCCTCTCCCCACATTCCTGGCCCTCACTCACTTGGGAGTGTTGAGAAAGAAGAGGCGACACCTCAGATGGTGTAGACGGCTTCACCTAGATCCCAGCCAGCAGCTCTGGGGAACCTCCCCCCCTTAGTTCTTTGCCAGTTGGCTAGTCTTGTTTACCAGAAGCATAGTTTGCACAGAAAAAAGAACCTCACGAGTCCCAAAGACATTTAAATTCTAGCCCGCCCTCCTTCCCTACCTTCCAGTCCCCCTTCAGACACACTGCTGAGCCTTTCCTCTTATCACACTGTCAAACTCTAGCAATTAGTAATTATAACATAATAGAAACAGTCATTAGGAGCTTATAATTATCTTCTCTTTGAAAGTATACGATCCTGTAGCATGAATTGTCTTGCCAGAAGATCATAATTCATCTTGATAACAGGTTTGATGGAGTTCTATGAGACAAGAATCTGGCTCATTAATGTTATTATTGTTTTTAAACTCTCAGTGGCACCGACGCTTCCTAAGTATTAATTAATCGTCATGACTTCGCAGAGAAGTAGGTTAAATACAACTAAACTCATCGCACCAGAAGAGAAATTGGCAAACCCTTGATTCCTTAATGCCTCCCTCTTCATTACCTAGGGATCCAAGAGTAAAAATGGAAATGGCTGAATTAGACTCATGTTTCCATAGTACTAACTAGGCATGAATTTATGTGTTATTGGTGACCTGACTTCAATAAAACCCCCTTAAATGTATGTAATAATAGAATAGAAATATGTAGCAATCAGCAAAGATGTAAGCTGCCCTTGCCTGGCTTCTTGTAGGATGCACAAACTAAGGACATCAACACCAGACATCTTTGCAGCCACACACACTTTGCCTTTCCTTTCTTTGCCCTCAAATTCTCATTGTTCCTTGGGGATGTGCGACTCAACATGACTAGTTGCAGATCCATAGGACATATTTTGAATGTTTGATCACATGGAGACCATGATTAATGGCAAAGACATGGGTTTGAATGGAAGACCTGCCAATCTGGAATGCTATTTGTCTTCTCTTGTTGCTGTTTCCTTGTTTCTAATGCAAAGCATCTTACTTCATCAATTGTAGGAATAACAAGACTTAATAGAGGTAGAGTGCCAGGTACTTTAACACTCATCAGTCATGGAATGTATTACTTGTCCTATAAACCAGTTAGCTTCACTGAAAAAAAAAAGTTTCTCAATAGGAGGCTGTGATACTGTGTGTGTGAATTTGGAGATTTTGTATAACATGGTGGTCATTATCAAGTGGCTTTGCATTTAGTACATATACTAAACATAAATACATATCTATGTATATACTAAATATAAATATATATCTATGTATATACTATATATGCTAAATATATATACTAAAGATAAATATGTATCTATGTATTATTAAATCAATCAATCTGTCTCTCTCTATCTCTATCTATCTATCTATCTATCTATCTATCTATCTATCTATCTATCTATCTATCTATCTATCTGCCACCAGTGGTGCACACCTCTTGTTCTAGCTACTGAGGAGCTGTGATCTAAGGATCCGGTTCAAAGTCAACCTGAACAGGAAAGTCCATGAGAGTCTTATCTCCAATTAGCTATTGGAGAAGCCAGAGCTACTGAAAAAACTACTGAAAGGCTCAAGTGGTAGAGTGCTAGCTTTCAGTGAAAAATCTAAAATAGTGCCTGGCCCTGTGTTCAAGCTCTAGTACCAGCACACACATGTGTACACACACACACACACACACACACACAAATAGTATGTTGGCAAATTATACTTGAATGTGTGAATAAAAGCAAGGGCCTGGATGCTGTGTCTGAGCATCTTTGTTCTCAAGGCTAGTGCTCTACTACTAACCACAGTGCCACTTCCGGTTTTTAGTGGTTAATTGAAGATAAGAGGCTCATGGGAACTTTTCTGCGGGGGCTGGCTTTGAACCTCAGATCTCAGCCTTTTCAGTAGCTAGGATTACAGGCACGAGCCACCTACATCTGGCTGCAAGTGCTTTCTAAAATAAAAAAGAGGCAAAAGGCCAATGCCTTGTGCATCTGTTGTGGTACCTTGGGTACTCAGAACACCAGAGGTACAAAAATCTAAAGGAAGAGAGGGACTTGGGAGTAGGGTCGATGATGGAGGAAAGTAGAAGTGGTAGATACTGGAAAACAAATTCCATCTTCAATAAAATGCTATAACCACCTAGTGTACAGATAAAGGATGAGGGGAAGGGTAGCATTTTGCCATGGGCCTGCTTTCTTTCTTTCTCTCTTTCTCCCTTCCTTCCTTTCTTCCTTCCTTCCTTCCTTCCTTTTTTCTTATTAACAAACCAGAGTTTCTAGGTTTTACCACTTCCTTTTAAAACACAGAAACTCGAGCCACAAGGAATATTCAAGGATCAGTTGGGAACAAATCACTAAAGAAGAAACAACAAACAAGTAACCCCCCCCCCCCCCCAAACGTCTTATATTTGTTTCACAGGAAGTACAGGATTGGCTAATAACTTGATGATTTTGAACCTTACCTGTGTAGGTATATTCCACATAGGCAGGGTGAGTTTTGGTGAAAACCTCTCTTACTTTTTCTATTTTATCAGCTGTTATTTTTGTTGCAAATGGGGTATACATAACTGAGAAGGATTCAGCCCTGGTGATAGCTTCTTCAATCATGGCCTGAGAGGAAGCAAAAGAACCCATTTGGTATCTGTAATAGTAGATGATGTTTTTGAGGGTGTAAAAAATATAATTACCTTTATGGATGATTAAAAAATCCATACACTGTACTGCCAAGATAACATATTTTGGTCTTAAATATTCATTAGGACAAAATTTTAATTAGTTCTGGAAATATTATTTCATGTTAAAGAAATCCAATTAAATGAAGAGTTTGTAAATAGTCACCTCTACACTGAGCTTATTTTAGGATAAAAAACAGAAATTCTATTTTTCCAGGTGTCTTATTAATTAATTAATTAATTTGTGCTTTCTAAAGTACTGGGGTTTGAACTCAGAGCCTCATATTTACTGGTCAGGAGCTCTATCACTGAGACATGCCTCCAGTTATTTAATTACATTGGTCATTTTGAGATATGATCTTGATTTTTGCTGGCCAGTGCCTAGAATGTGATCCTCCTATTTTACACATTCTGCAATAGTTGGAATGATAGCTGTGTGCTACTGTCCCCTGCTTCCGATTGAGACAGGGTGCATATATATATATATATATATATATATATATATGTGTGTGTATATATATATACACACACACACATATATATATATATATATTTTTTTTTTTTGGTCAAGCTGACTGGCACTGTGATTCTAAGGATCTCAACCTCCAGCTTAGTTAGGATTACAGGCATACACCGTTTTTTCAGTTGATTTAGAATGTCAAATTCCTCAGTCCAGCATTATAATTAACTTACTGAGAAAGACATTGATGAGTAATTTATACAAAAAAGTTTTCTTTAAAAAAATGTAGCGAACTATCTCTATTTGAGCATGACAAACTACATCGACATACTTAATTTGTCTTTGAAAGCCTGGGAAAGTCTTGTGGACTAGGAAGAACTGTTCTCAGCTTCCTCTCTGCAAAGAATCCCTTCCCTCCAGATCACAAGTAACATGTGAGAGGAACTTAGCTATTTAACAATTTCTTTAAATTATATTTGCTCACAGACCAGTCTAAGTAAAGTCCTGCCATTGCTCCTAGCTTCCTGCTTTAAATAGGATCATTACTATTTGTACTGGATCCCAAAGAAAGTTATTCAAGTTTTAAAAGGAACTTCCTTCTTTCTTGCAACGTTCCCTTCTAATGAGGCTGGAACATTGAATAAAAAGTATAAACTATCTATCAGTATATCATTTTTTTCTCTGAAAATAGCATAAAGGTATATTACGTTGAAAGTCCACCCTTATTAAAAACTTCCTTTGACAATCAAGAAAAAAAATCACAGATGGTGAACTTCCTAACAGAAAAAAAATCCACTCAATATCATAATCTCTCTTATTATCATCACAGTTATTTGGGAACATTTCCTAATAAGGTGGCAAGCAATGAAAGGTCTCTTTGAAACTGGCCACACTCATACCCATTGCCTGCTCTGGCTCTCAAAGACTTCCAGTAACCACTGTGACTACCGGTGCTATTTGTGAAAGAGCCTTGCATGAATTTCATGATGCAGAAGCTTCTCCTTTCTCTGATAGGTGCAAGGGAAGATTATGTAAAATTAATGGTGGGCAAATTTCCGAATGAACTTCCATAGGTTTTAGAATGACTGAACTTACATCACCCATTACGTTGTTTTTGTCTCGTTCAAAGAACTGAAAGAAGTCAAAGAACAGAGCTGTGAGGTCAAGCCTAGAGCCAGCATGAGAGAGAGAGTTAGCCATGGGTTGTGAGTACTTGGAAGGTTGGGGCTGAGACCCAACTTCGGCAGGTGACAGGAACAAGGCGGGGAGCATGTCGGGAGTTCAGAGGTGTGGATTGGCAACTCTGGTATTGTGTTGAGGCCTTGCTTTCTCACTTGAGACATGAAGCTCCTCAAGTGTGGCTCGTCCACGTGTACTTTGCTGTAACCAATCTGGGCTGCTTGTCCTGACCCATCCACATACAGGGTGTGTGTGTGCGCGCGCGCGCGTGCGTGTGCATGCACACACACGTGCAAAAGAGTGTGTTGAGAAGGCACTTACTTCAGACCTCAATTTTGAAGGCCAGGACCTGGTTTTACTGTTTATTTGTGCTTAGTTAAGCTGCTGTTTTCTGTGTGAGTTTTTCCAGGACTGCCTTATAGAGCACCAGACCAGGTGGTGTTAAGTAGTAGATTTATTCTCTGACCCTTCCAGAGCTTGGAAGTCTCAGATTGAAGCATGGATGGCTTGGTTTCTACTGTGGCCCATCTTCTTGGCTTGGGATGACTATCCCTTCCTATGGCCTCCTGTGGTATTTCTTCTGTGTATCTGTGTCCTAATCTCTTTACCAAAGGAGATTAGAATTAGGGCCCAGCAAGATGTCCCCCTTTTAGACAAATCCACCTTTTAAAAGGTCTTGCACTGTTTTATTTTTTGCCATATTTTTATTACCATTAATTAGTTGCACAAAGGAGTTTCATTTTAAAGACACCATCTCATTCTGAGATGTCTAGATGTTCATATGTTTAACATATGAAAATTTTTTTTGGGGGTGTGTGTGGATAAGTCCCGCAGGACACCAGACTTAGCCCCTAATAGTTTCTGACACCTAAAAAGTTCTTCCATTGTTTTCTAAATATCTGAGTGGAGGGCATGTTATCTTTAAGTAGTTGTACAAAGGAGTTACCATTCCACAAAGCGGTTTATGGGTACAATTTGTCTTGATCAGTGTCACCCCTTTCAATCTTCTCATCCATGCCTCCCAACCCCAACTCTTCCCTCACACACACACACACACACACACACACACACACACACACACCACACCCCTTCTTCTCTTCATTCCTTTTATCTTAAAATCTGGTTGAGAAAAAAACAACCACCAGTGAAGGTACTGTATCCTCCAGTTTGTTTCCAGCAAGACATTAGCAGTAGGGTAGTCAAGCCAGGACGGGAGAAAACACTCAGCCCTGTTTCCTTTCCAACTGCTGGCAGCCCAGTGGCTGTTGGCACGGGGTGTCTGTGGTAAGCCACCTCACAGGAGCGGCAACAGGAAACCCGCCCAAGAGCCAGCTCTTCTGTGAGTGGCAGCAGCGTGCTTCTCACGTGGCAGCTCCATCTGCGAAAGGCACTATCTGGATTTTTGGCATGCAACTCTTGGTTCTGGTCCAGGCCTTTACAGGCCTTGCTACTATAGTAGAGAGCAATGTTCCTCCTTGCTCCCAGAGAAACTGCCAAGGAGGTTCTTTGGTTCCTTCTGTCCTCTGTCCTGAAGATGCCTAGGGAAATGGTTGGAAGACTGGATCACATACTTAATGGTTAAGGACTCACTTGTCTGTGGGAATCCTTTCTCTAAAGAAATCATGATAACCCAAAATAAAATAGTTGGACCTACAATACTAATGAGACTACAGATTTCTCTTACAGAGTTTCTGGAGCAAACCTATTGTGTTCCAATGTATATATTTTTTCTTCTAAAGATAAACAATGAGGGGACCTTGAACCTGCATCATATTGCTTTTGTAAAGAAATAACACATACACATTTATCTTTTCAATTGTGGTGACACATTATTAAATAATTCATTAATGAAAAAAAGTTGAGGGAAAATTTAACCTATGTACCTTGTAGGTTGTCTCTTTACTGTTAATATATATATGTATATATATATACATACACATATACATATATATACATACACATATACATATGCCTATATATTTGCTCTTAAAAAGCTTTTCAGTTTCATATATTCTATTTTTTCTTTTTCTTTTGTTTTCTGTACTTTTGGGGTCTTGTCCAAAAAGCCTTTGCCCATTCCTGCATCTTGTATTAATTCTTTTGAAGAAGTTGTATTCTTTCAAGTCTTACATTTAAACATTTAATCCATTTTAAGTTTTGTAACTGGTGAGACATAGGAATCTAAGTTTATTCTTTTCATGTGGACTCCTAGTTTTTCCCGGCTTTTCTATTTATTGGGAAGTCTGGGTTTTCTGGACTGACTTTCAGACTCTCTGTTTGGGACCCTTGAACAATGGGTCTGTTTTGTGCCAATATGAAGTCAGGTAGTGCAATGCTTCTCGTTTGTTCTTTTTGTTCAAGATGGCTTTGCATAAATGGTCCCATACAAACTGCACACAATTGTTTTGTCTAGACTTGTGAAGAATGCCTGGTGTTTTGATAAGAATTTCATTGGACCTATCAATGAAAGCATGGCCATTTTAATAATCTTGCTTCTTTCAAACCACAGACATGGAATGGAATTCTAGTTTTTTGTGTCATTTAGTTCCTTCAGTGATCTTTTATAGTTTTCATTGTAGGGATCTTTCATGTCTTTGATTGAATTTATTGCCAGATATTATTATTATTATTATTATTAGTAGTAGTAGTAACCATTGCAAATAATTTTGCTTTCTTGAATTCTATTTCAGATAATTTTTCTATTGGGGTATGGCAATGCTAATACTCATTTAAGAACAGTTTAACTTGTGTACTTTGTAGGTTGTCTCTTCACTCTTGGTTTTTTTTTCTCTTTAGAAGCTTTGAATTTGTGTTGATTTTATATCATGCAACTTTGCTGAATTTGCTATATCTTAGTTTTTTGGTGGAATTGTTGGGAGGTTTTTATGTATACGATCATGTCATCTGTGAGCAGTGACAATCTGACTTCTTTTTCATTTTGGATAGCATTTATTTCTTTCCCTTGCCCGATGACTCTGGCTGTTGCAAAAAGTGGTAACAGGAGGCATCTTGGTCCTGTTCCAGTCGTTAGGGCAAGTATTCAACTTTTCCCATCCAGAATGTTGTTAGATGTTATCTTCTTACATATGACCTTTTTTCCTTCTGTACTTATTTTGTTCAATATTCTTATCATGAAGAGACAGTGAATTTTTATCAAGAGATTTTTCAGCATCTACCAAATGATTATATATTTTTAAATTGTTCATTCTGTTAATTAGTTGCATTATATTTATTTGTGCATTGAACTATCATTTCATCCATAATCATAGAATGAATCCTATTTAATAGTGATTAATGTG